GAGCAAAAGACGTTGCGGCTTGCACCATCTAAAGCGACTATTTCGCTGTCACTTTTTCGCCTTGACATAACATCCGAGTCGTTACTTCACTCTTATATTCGACACAAATCACCAGACTAAACTCCAAGGAAAGTTTAGTAAGTTTTGTAAGCTTCTTTTTCTGACATGAAATCAATTATTCTGTGATAGAATGAATAACCCCTTAAATATAAAGCTCTAGCGGAGTAAGGCTTCTATTAGCAGCAGAAGCACTTTTGCCTTGCAATTAAAACTGCTGCTCAATACGTTAAATCAGCTTGTGCAGTGGTGAAGTGGAAGTCAACTATAATGCCAAATCTAGAATCTAGAGATACGATATAAGGGATACGAACACACTTAGATGTGTATGTGGTAGTACGACAAGGGTAACAGCTCCTGGTATATCGCTTGTGACCAGTGATGACTCTAGCGAACAAAATATTGGGATGCATTTGAAATTCAAAGAGCCTGAAGCAACTAGACGATGCAATCGGCAGTGAAATCTGGTCTTGAACAAGCCAGGCTTCATGACAGCACAAGTACGACAAGGTGTGTACCGTGATCATTTCGATTCATGCATTGCACTAATGTCAACACTGCCCAGCGACCCAGTTAAGTATATAAAATATCCAGTCGGCAAGGAGTTGCTTTCATGCGCTATAACAGAACACTAGATTTGTTTGAATCGTTTACAGTGATTCCCAGTTTCAAATACTGAATGAACAAAATCTGTGTGAAATATCATTCATCTTGAAAAATACTAGCAATTCGCACCAAAAACCGCATTTATATCATTCGATTCTTACTTGTGAGAAATCACACAAAACTCTTGGATTGTTAAATTCCAATAATCTTAACTAGCATACAAACGCACGAAGGATCTATCCTAAATACAACAAAACCTTCTGCTACGTAATAAAACTAAGATCTTCAAGGGTTCCACAAATGCCAGTTAGGGCATTCACAGTCGCATGCAATCTTCCTCGTTACACATAAGCCGAAACAAATTTTCCTTCTACTGTACTTAGGAACAGTTGCACTTGATGAGATCCATGGG